GGGGAGGAAGGAATGGGATGTGGACTGGCGGGGGTCGACTCAGGTAAAGTAGCGGTTAGATAAGAAAAAATTGGGTCCACATCATAAGGGAAAGGAGGAGCCGGAAAAGAAGAGGGAACTAAAAGTGAAGAGAGGGAAGGAAAAGTGTGATAAGGAAAAATATTTTCATGGAATTTAACATCACGACTTGTGAAAATTTTGTGAGACTTAAGATCATAAAGCTTAAAGGCTTTTTGAACAAGGGGATAACCAAGGAAAACATATGGAATAGCATGAGGAGCAAATTTATGTGTCACATGAACATTAGTGGCATATGCAAGACAACCAAAAACACGAAGGTGAGAGAAAGTGGTTTTTTGGAGTAAAGACGTTCAAAAGGAGTGTTAAAAGAAAGAAGAGGAGTAGGAAAACGGTTGATGAGATGAACTGCAGTTAAAACACATTCCCCCCAAAATTAGGAAGGAAGATTGGCCTGAATTTTTAAAGCACGAGCCGTTTCAAGGATGTGGTGATGCTTATGTTCTACGACCCCATTTTGTTGAGGCTTATAAACGCAAGAGTGTTGAAAAATGATGCCCTGTTCATGAAAAAAAGTCTGAAGAGAAAGATGGACCACCATGATTTTTCTTAGGTTTGTGGCGTGGATGACCTTCTGGATACCCATGAAGCTTCCAGCAGTATCAATGTGATGACCATCGTCATCACAATGGGTGCAATGGGGTCGATTTCTTGAAGATCCTGCGCGGCGGTCATCACGGTTGGAGGTTTGGGAACGATTTTGGTCTGACCTGTCAATGCGATGATCTTCGCGATTGGTGGATCAATTCTGATTAGGACGTCCAGTTCTAACAGCCATGGCAGCAGTATCGAAGGTTCCAGTAGCTGCTCGTGAGGCTCCAAGCGTGCGTTGCTTTTCTTCTTGGCTGATGGAGGCATATGCTTGCCTAACAAACGGCAAGGGATTCATCAAGAGAATTTGGCCACAAACAGCACTGTAAGACTCATTCAATCCCATAAGGAATTGCATGAGTTTGTTGCGATCACCATGGGCTGCACAGGTACAGGTAGAAGAATCTGTGCAGGAAGCAAGTTCATCCCAAAGACCTTTCAACTTGGTGTAATAGGCAGCAACTGACAATTAGTCTTGTGTCAAATATGAAGTTTCCCATTGAAGTTGGAAGATACAAGGAGCGTTGCTTTGAGAGAATCGTTCACGGAGATCCTCCCAAATTTCGCTAGCTGTGGTGCAATATATGACACTATCGCTGATTTCGGGATCAAGCGTGTTGACAATTCATGAGAAAACCATGTCGTTACAACGCATCCATACCGCATGTTCATCAGGATTGGATTCTGATGACGGCTCTTTGAGAGTTCCATCAACGAAACCCAAGTTATTCTTTGCGTTCAATGAAACAGTCATGAATCTGTGCCACGTCGCATAATTATCTCCATTCAAAGGCTTTGGTACAATTACCAAACCTAGATGATCTGAATTATTGATGTAGTAAGGACTTGAACGTTCAACCTTGAATGTGCCAAAGGAATCGCCCATGGTTTCCGGTGGCGAAAGATCTGCGGCACGAGAAGGTAAGGTGCGGCAGGAGAAGAAATATGAAGAGCTAGAGTTTGATGTCCTGCTCTAATACCATGTGAATCTGATATTGGAGGAGAATAATTTTATTTGATAGGTACAATTGGTTTATACAAGAGTGTCTTAGTGTACAAGAAAACAAGTCCTCCAATCTAGGAAACTTACTAGGAAAGTAATCCTAATTACAACAGTATTGATATTAATTGATATTATACAAATTTATTTCCTAACAGATTGAGTAGGTTGGTCATTGCGTTAATCAAGTGATTGAGTAGGCTGGTCATTGTGGTGGGAACTCATACGTCAAAAATGACTAAAATGTTTGAATACAACGCACACTATCAAGGTACGGGGTATGGAACTTGAGACTATTATTTGGAAGTCAAGATATTTTTCCACTAAACTAGACCCAGTTAACATTTTGTTATGAAGAAAACATTATATTTCAGTTTAATAGGTATAATGCCAAGTGTTTTAATACCTGGCAAGTGCCACGTGGTATTTCAATACCACTGTATAATTTCTCTAGTACATTAATCTCCTCATATACCGCACAGTGCCTCCAAAATTGAGGGGCCCCCAAAGTTTTTAAAAGTCCAGCATTATATTATATATTTTCTGCTACTGTTCCGTCTAAACAAATTTTTATTCCAAAACATTATTTTTTGTTCCTAACGTGAAGTTTATTCCAAGTATTAACAAATTTTTTAAAAAAACTACTTGTGAGTTGTGTACACATAGCACATCACGCAAAGTATAAGTAGAATTGAGAGGGAATGATCCTGTTGTAGTAATTGAAGCCTTCTCCCCACTAGGCATACGAACCGGTGGCACAGAATGATCAATATTACGATGAACCAACAATTTTGGAGAAGAAACAATGTGGTCAGTCGCGCCACTGTCGATAATCCAGCGCTGAAATTTTAATTTTGACAAACCTGTGTTGGTGGCAGCTGCATGGACCTGGGATTTCTTGTCAGAAACTGATTTGTCATGCATGATAGCCAACATCTGCTGAATTTGAAGGTCCGAAAGGCCGGACATAACAGACTGCATCGTATCCTTGGTTGGGCCTTCCGAAACATGATTGGAAGATGGACCATCATGCTTTTTCTTAGGTTTGTGGCGTGGATGACCTTCTGGATACCCATGAAGCTTCCAGCAGGTATCAATATGATGGCCATCGTCATCACAATGGGTGCAATGGGGTCGGTTTCTTGAAGATCCAGCGCGGCGATCATCACGGGTGGAGGTCTGGGAACGATTTTGGTCTGTCCTGTCAATGCGACGATCCTCACGATTGGTGGATCGATTCTGATTAGGACGTCCAGTTCGAACAGCCATGGCAGCAGTATCGGAAGTTCCAGCAGCAGCTCGTGAGGCTCCAAGCGTGCGTTGCTTTTCTTCTTGGCTGATGGAGGCATATGCTTGCCTAACAAACGGCAAGGGATTCATCAAGAGAATTTGGCCACAAACAGCACTGTAAGACTCATTCAATCCCATAAGGAATTGCATGAGTTTGTTGCGATCACCATGGGCTGCACAGGTACAGGTAGAAGAATCTGTGCAGGAAGCAAGTTCATCCCAAAGACCTTTCAACTTGGTGTAATAGGCAGCAACTGACAATTAGTCTTGTGTCAAATATGAAGTTTCCCATTGAAGTTGGAAGATACAAGGAGCGTTGCTTTGAGAGAATCGTTCACGGAGATCCTCCCAAATTTCGCTAGCTGTGGTGCAATATATGACACTATCGCTGATTTCGGGATCAAGCGTGTTGACAATTCATGAGAAAACCATGTCGTTACAACGCATCCATACCGCATGTTCATCAGGATTGGATTCTGATGACGGCTCTTTGAGAGTTCCATCAACGAAACCCAAGTTATTCTTTGCGTTCAATGAAACAGTCATGAATCTGTGCCACGTCGCATAATTATCTCCATTCAAAGGCTTTGGTACAATTACCAAACCTAGATGATCTGAATTATTGATGTAGTAAGGACTTGAACGTTCAACCTTGAATGTGCCAAAGGAATCGCCCATGGTTTCCGGTGGCGAAAGATCTGCGGCACGAGAAGGTAAGGTGCGGCAGGAGAAGAAATATGAAGAGCTAGAGTTTGATGTCCTGCTCTAATACCATGTGAATCTGATATTGGAGGAGAATAATTTTATTTGATAGGTACAATTGGTTTATACAAGAGTGTCTTAGTGTACAAGAAAACAAGTCCTCCAATCTAGGAAACTTACTAGGAAAGTAATCCTAATTACAACAGTATTGATATTAATTGATATTATACAAATTTATTTCCTAACAGATTGAGTAGGTTGGTCATTGCGTTAATCAAGTGATTGAGTAGGCTGGTCATTGTGGTGGGAACTCATACGTCAAAAATGACTAAAATGTTTGAATACAACGCACACTATCAAGGTACGGGGTATGGAACTTGAGACTATTATTTGGAAGTCAAGATATTTTTCCACTAAACTAGACCCAGTTAACATTTTGTTATGAAGAAAACATTATATTTCAGTTTAATAGGTATAATGCCAAGTGTTTTAATACCTGGCAAGTGCCACGTGGTATTTCAATACCACTGTATAATTTCTCTAGTACATTAATCTCCTCATATACCGCACAGTGCCTCCAAAATTGAGGGGCCCCCAAAGTTTTTAAAAGTCCAGCATTATATTATATATTTTCTGCTACTGTTCCGTCTAAACAAATTTTTATTCCAAAACATTATTTTTTGTTCCTAACGTGAAGTTTATTCCAAGTATTAACAAATTTTTTAAAAAAACTACTTGTGAGTTGTGCGGTACGCTCTCCTTGCTATTCTCTCTCTCTCTCTCTCTCTCATTTTGCTGGGTGTAGTTCTTTTTGCATGTAAAAGAAATTGAATGGATGTGAGTGTGAAAATAGATCTTGATTCTATTTGTGGATTCTAATGTATTTGTGGGTACATATTAGGCATCATCAACTTTCTTCGCATAGGCCTTCATATCTAATGGACCGGCTCTGGCTCCCCTCCATGGAGATCATTCATAGAATGGAGCTGAAAAATGCTAGAATATTGTAATTGTAACCGAAAATAACCAACCTGTAAATAATCACCACATGCAGGCTGGCTAAACTCTACCACACGCAAGCTGGCTAAACTCTACCTGAAACTCAAAAATTTAACTCAAGTTTAACCAAATCTCAAAACAACCCAAAGTACCATAAACAACCAGAGGAAGGCAATTTTTTATTTATTACATAACTTGTATTTAACAATGCACCCTACAAATATAAAATACATATGGGGTGTATCACTCTAAGCTAATTAAGATTACAAGATTAACTTCCTTTGGGAGAGGAAAAATAAAAGATGAAGTTGCAAATTCTAGATGGGGAAAACCACAAGGCTCCGCTTCAACGATAGGCCAAGAGTGCTTCAAAAACTATCTTATGCCTGTCATGGCTATAAAACCAGCACCTAGGCTTAAAAACAGAGGTAAAAAACATGAGCCGTAAAACTCACTCGTGTTGATTACTCTAATAGATAATCAACGGAAAAAAAATTTCCCTCGTCAAACCCGAGTTGGGGAAAAAGATGACTGGAGATGTCTTCCTGTAAGTGATCATGGAATGCAAAAACATATGACAGTAAAACAAAACATCGCATCCATAACAGACTTTTCTACTTCCACATTCTTTCAGCTGTTCCTTTTTACAAAAACTATCTGTGAACCAGAAGGATGCTCAAACACACAGCTGTTCGATTTTGGGTTATCCTCAGCTGCTCCCTGGAGCTTTATCTGTAATATAGTAACATTAAAACATTAGACTTGCAAGATATATAAATATACATGTGTATGTATATATATATATATATATATCCGTTTTTTGGTCAATGAAATACACATCTAAGGACAAACAAATAAATAATGGCAAGAAATAAATAACTGAACTTCAAAAGTTTTTGTTTTTAAGTTTCATAAGTTAACATCACAATTCCTTCTCTTGTTGGATAAATTTTTGTTTCATATCCACTTTAAGCATGCAGGAGCTTCTTGTTTTCAATTTAACCACAGCCAACATTTAGTTAAGCAATTAACAGTTAATTCGTAGGGTGGCACAAATCCATCTTGTGGTGTGCCTCCCAGATAGAAAATCCAGTTAGTTGGGTCAGTTGGTACCAAATTGTAATACAGGAGGGCTTACTGATGTTGTTGTCAAAAACAAGACTTAAAGTAATAG